TTTGTTGAGATCTCGTAGCCCGCTTCAGTTTGTCAGGCAGGTTCCATTTAAGTGATTTCTTGATTCAGCAGGTCTGGCAGTAATCATCCCTGGGTGTGGCAGTGACACTGAACTCAGCTTTGTATAAAATGTGGTTAATCACAGTTAATTTGTGATTTAACAAGGTGTGGGCCATCACTTTTTCACACAGGGCCATGTAATAATAAGAAATCAGGAAGGTGGCAAGCACTTTTTCACACCGCTGTATCTATTTTTTCTATTTCTGTCCTTGAAAAATACCGAACATGACACAGTAACACTAAAAACTAAAACTATGCAAATCTAAAAACGAAACAAAAATTAATAATTTTCAATAGAATCCAAACTAAAACAACTGATATGAAACTGAAAAGAAAACCAAAACACAAAATTAAATTAAACAGGATGAATGAGGATGAAAGCTTCTAGCTGTTTATACTAAATAAGTAAAAATACAACAGCTGCTCATTTATAATTATTTCATAACTAACCGAGAAGTAGCTTCCACCGGATCCAACTCCTCCTATGACGATGTCTGATCCTTTCATGTCTCCGTTCGGGCTCAAACCAAAACCCACCCAGCCTGTGGTGTTGACCGCCAGCTGGAATGTAATGTCACCTGCTAGACTGTCAAAGCCCCACTTCAGGCACACCAGTTGCTCCTGGTCCAGGTACTTCATAAAGGGCATTGTGACATCCATCGCCCATGACCCTGTTGTGCAGATCAGTAGCAGGGAGAAAAAGGGAAGCAGAGAGCACATGATGTCTCTGCAAAGCTGAAAATCTTCAAACTGAGCTGAATACTAGCGGGGCTGCCAAACTCCCTCCCACCATCCAAAGACACACCTGCGTTTCGAGATCAGCTCAAGTGATAGTGGGGAAAAAAAAGTGCTCAGGCATTTACTGTTTGCCCTTGCTGAACAATAAAAACTGGGCTTTCTGGGCTCACTGTCACATTCTCATCCTTGTAAAAACTCACAAAAGAGTTTCCAACTCAACTTCTTTAAAGCCTTAGTATTAAATCCGTAATTGAATCTTTTATGTACTAGCAGTCTCCAGCCACAGTGCTTTTCATACAGCACTAAAATGTCCACAGGTAGGCTGAAGATTTCACCTACACTTTGTTTTGTTTTATAACTGGCAGGCTCAGGTAATTGATATATGAATGGGTGCTAAGGAGAAGTGAAATGTATAATACTTTCTTCTCACCTACTGTCACGTTCTCATATATCAAAGGCTTGAGTCGAGCCAAAAGAATTTCATGGCGCAGGAATGTGAATTGTGTAGTTAGTCTCTGAGTGCTGCATTCAGATCCTAAGATACAAAAGTTTTAGGTTTATTTCCTTGTTCATGTGTTATTTTTTTTACAGTGTGCAATCTTTAACCGTCTCATATTCTTTAGCGAACATTTCAGAGAGATTCTTCTTCTATGCAGTGGCTAAACAAATATCTAATATTTTAAGGAAAAGCACTTCACTTCAAGTAGAGTTACAACTTACATAACAACTGACTTGAGTGCTCTTACACATGACACTTCTTTGGTCATTTTACTGTGCAACTCATCCTGCTCACAGGTTCAGTTACACAGTTTAGGTTTTGTTTTTTGTTTTTTTTACCAACATATGCAATGTTTTCTTAACTTGAGGCACATAAGGAGAGAGGAAGATTTCTTTAGTCATCGTCATCATTGTCAGTGATAAACTGCAAACAAATATTCATAGAAGTTTTTGCATGCTAGAATTTATTGTTTGTTGGACTTTCTGTTTAGGAGAGTGGGTTGATTGATGGACAACACACACTGTCAAGACAGTAAAAGTATATCTGAACAGAAAATCACAGAAACTGACTTCCCCAGAGCCCAGAGCTCAACATTTTTGAAGCAGTGTGAGATCATCTTGACAGAGAATGAAAGAAAGGGCGACAAAAGAACTGCATTCAATGTCCTTCAAGAAGTCTGGAGAACTAATTCTAAAGACTACTTAAAAATTAAAAGAAAGTTTACCTGAGAGAGTTCAGGCTGTGTTAAAGAATAAAGGTTCAAGTGTATTAGAACTATACAAGCTCTGTTTTTGACTTTTGTCCTGTATTTCTATGTATGCTTGCACTTGTTTCACTGCAATTTCTGAGAAAAATATAAAAAAAGACTTTTACACAGTGATGTAAGTCTTTACCAATAATGATAACCCAGGAAATCAGGAGACAAAATAAAAGATAATTGTAACTGACAGGCATCAAAAATTGAATTGAATTGAACTGAAAGCCTTTATTGTCATTATGCACAGTATAATGAGATTTAAAACAGCTCCATAAAAGTGTACAAGTGCTTAGCATATTATAAAAAACTATACAATAATATAACAATACACATAATATAAATACACAGCACCGGGTGACAGAGACAGACAACCAGAGAATAATGACACGGACAATTTGAGCACCGACAATTTTAAGCACAGACATAAGTTCAAGGAGCATCAGAATGAGCACTCTACTGGTGCAGTGGTCAGTGCAGATATTTCAGTGCATATTACTTTTGTGCAAGGTTGAGTTGAGTATGGTGAAGAAGCTATCCCTTAGTCTGTTTGTTCCGGCCCATATGGATCTGAAGCGCCTGCCAGAGGCCAGCAGGTTAAAAAGATGGTAGCCAACGTGGGTGATATCCTTAAAGATGTTTCTGCCCCTGCTGAAACAACTGAAGTTATAGATGGTAGACAAGGAGAGCAGATGCCAGCTGATGATTTTTTGTGCTGTGTTTACCAACCTCTGCATCTCTTCCTGTCTGCCTCCATGGAGCTGGCGTGCCACACGGCATAGGTCAGCAGGCTCTCGACGATGGATATGTAGAAGGTCACCAGCAGTGGGGTGTTTAGTTGCTCCTTCCTGAGCACCCTTAGGAAATGTAGCCACTGCTGGGCCTTCTTGACTAGCACAGTGGTGTTTACTGACCAGGAGAGATCTGCAGAGATGTGGATGCCAAGGAATTTGAAGGATTGCACTCGCTCACCCCTGTGATCAGCCCCAACACCGTTGTGTCATCAGCAAATTTAACAATGATGTCCTCTGGGTGGGCAGGACTGCACTCAGATGTGTAGAGGGAGTTAGTACACAGCCCTGGGGACAGCCGGTGCTGAGAGTGTGGGAGGAGGAGAGGCGAGGATCCAGTTTCCCCCGCTGGGATCTGTTGACCAAAAAGTCCTTTATCCAAGAGCAGGTGGGTGGCAGGAGCCCGAGGTTGGGTAACTTGGTGATCAAAATGTCCGGTATTATTGTGTTGAAGGCTGAGCTGAAGTCAGTGAAGAACATTCTGACATAGCTCTCCTGTTGCTCCAGGTGACTCAGTACTTGTTTGGAGAGCAATGGCTATGGTGTCTTTGGTGGATCTGTTAGTCTGATATGCAAATTGGTGTGAGTCCAGAGCGGGGGGAGACAGGTTCTGATGTGCCCCGGAACCAGTTTCGTGAAGCACTTGGTGATGGCAGGGGTTAGCGCAATTGGACGGCAGTCATTGAGACTGGTTGTGGGTGACTTTTTAGGAATGGGGATGATTATGGCAGATTTCAAGCAGGTGAAATGTTTCAGAGACAGGTTGAAGAAGATGCCAGTGAAGACCTGTGCTAGCTGCTTGGCACATGCCTTGAGCACCTTCCCAGGTACTCCATCAGGACCTGCAGCCTTCCTGGGGTTCACTGCACATGCCTCACATCCTGTGTCTCAAGAGTCAGTGGGGGGTTGCTAGAGTCTGGTGTGGGTTGTGGTGGTTGTTGGAATGGTGTGGCTGAGTGCAGTGTTTGAGACTCAAAACGGGCAAAAAAGCTGTTCAGCTCCTCTGCTAGCCCTGCATCTGAGTGTCACAGGACAGGTGTCACAGGACATCCTTTGTTGGTAATAGTCTGTATGCCCCTCCACACCTGTCTGGGGTCGTTAAGATGTTCCTCTATTCTCCTCTTGTATTCTGATTTGGCAGTACTGATGCCCCTCCTCATGTTATCTCAAGCGGAGTTGTACAATGCCCTGTCACCTGTCCCGAAGGCTGTATAAAAATTACAAAACATCGGCTGGACAAAAAGAACAAACCATGGGTTTAGGATTTGTTTGAAAATCTATTAAAGCTGAAACTCAGATATTAAAAATAAAAACATGAAGACTTACTGCAGCTGAAATTTTGAATAACAAAAACTCTTTGTGGCCTTCAGAGATTAGGATTTTAATACAATACTCAGAGAACAACCACACTATTCACAGTCCTGAACCACGGAATTATTTTGGCTCGAATAAATATTTGATATATGAGAAGGTGATAATGGGTGAGAAGGACTACAGATGTCATGCTGTTGACATGTGCTAGGCGTTTGAGCTGTTATTGAAAAAGTTAAGAAAAAAACCCACCAACAATAAAAACGCACTTGCACAATGAGGCCAGCAGAGGGAGACTTAAACAAAAGAGTAAACATAAGTTTAGGTTCAGGGTCACTCCCTTTGAGCTGTCAGGCCCATAGTGAGTAAACACACAATTAAAAAACGCACTGGAAATTTTAAAAAAATCCGGCAAATAGTAGAAATTATTTTATTACTACTACTATTTTGATTATTATTGTTATTACTTATTTTTTCCGACAAGTTAAAATTTTTAAGTTACCACGTTTTATATTTATATTGTATTTTTTTAATCATCGTTTAATTATGAAGTGTTTTATTTCTTCATATTGAAAAAAAAAATATTTGCGATTTTAAACAGTCGTGTAGTCTCTCTGGAGGAGCCACCATATCGGACCTGGACTACCTTTCCGGTTTCTGTGCGTGTTGCAGGTCACTCCCTCCTCCGTACTGTCAGCAGCTCTTTACGCGCTTCAAACTTGGTAGTCGCACTCAGCTGGTCTCCTTCCCACCTTTCGTTTTCTCGGATTTTTTGAGTTTTTAAACGACCTACTGTTTTTAAGTCATGTGTTAATGCCTTTGTCGCGGCGGCTTTCCACCGGGAGGAGTTATCGTGTTTGCTTCGCCTCCAGTTGAAGAGAAGCGCGGAGGAAATGTCCAGCTGAGGACTGGAAATCCTGAAAACTACAGGGCCTGTTTTTGTAATGATTGATCAATGCTTCGATAATGGCGCAAAAGGTGGGTTTGACAACTTTCCTGGGCTTCTCTTAAAGCCCCAGC